TCTAAGATCATTGCGTCAGGGAGAATGTACCGAACAGTGGTAACACTAGAAGATATTGCGTGATTGGATGCGCTGATGCATTCCGTGAAGCTGATGTTGCATCACCCTGGACCTGATGTAATCAAGAAAGAAAGCAGGAAGCTTCTGTAATTCGGCATCAAAAGTACGTAGTCAAGGGGTCGTGCGTCAAAGAGGCTGGGTTCCCGCCCCCACTGAGCCAAAAGATTTGCAGTAGATACTTGGCGATTTTGCAGAAACTCAGTTCAAATTGTCAGGAATTCGGGAAGCGTTTAACATTTACCACCCACAGATACAGCTTTTGGCAACATGCCCGTGGTATTATGAGTTCTTATGCTGAAAATAATCGACATTCACTGCATCATGAGGTATCAAGTAATATTTTGATATTTGGATTGAGTGCATGGTGAAAATATCCGATGTTTTCAGCAGTATTGATGGCCACGAGTGAGTGAAAACATTAGCGTCCCTACAGACACCGAATAATTGCCACACGTTTTTGTTTACTGGCACCTCCCGGTATCTTGCCGGTCGCTTATCTTCTGCAGAACAACTCATGATACGGGAGACCCACCTAGCATCGCAGAAGAACACCGGAAAACAAAATTTGTTAGATAAGGAAATTCACGTCACTTGATCCACAACTAAAAATTTTAGCACAGCTTCTATATCTTGTAGGCCCGTCAAGTGGGATACAATATCATAACGGCCAATCTTGCATCAGTTAACGTCATATGACTAGTACCTTCTGGTATACTGGAGGTCAGTTATGTTCAGCACAGGAACTCTCAACTCATCATAAAACCGAAAAACCAGCCGAGAGCCACGATCCTCGCTCCGACAACACCCGAGCTGTTCCCGGTGATTCAGCTGTTTGCCGGCCTCCGTGTCACGCCAGGGTAACCTCTGACCTGGCCCCAGCGCATGCGAACGGCAGCTTCGTACCGTACCACGCGTCAGTCCGGCGCCATGGCATGTGGTTCCCCATGTCGTGGGATGTGGCGGCTTGACCGCTGCCACCAAATAATTGCAGTCACTTAATGTTTGGTCACGAACGTTTTGAGCCATGAAGGAGCTCAAAGGCTGAATTGGGGACGCTGGATACTAAATAAAATATAAAATATAAAGGCCAGTGTGAGACTGCTTGCAATTAAGCCGTCGTCTGCTGACAGCTGATTCACTAATGAGTTATCCTCTGGTCCACAGAGAGCACGCCAGAGTCCCAGATGGTTTCTGTCAGTCACGGCACTGAGTCGACGTGACCCCCCCCCCCCCCCCCCAAGAAAAAGACCGGAGTAACTGGCACACCATAGCAAATACATCGTTGCTTCACCATGGTACCAGCAAAAAGCTGACTGCACTAGCCACACTGTTAAACTCTTTCGGTAACAAAAAACACAAAGTGACTAGACCCACTTTAAGTGCTCTAGCTTACCCGGGCAATCGGGAATGATGAGATCTTAACAGATTCGGGTGTTCCTGTTTCTTTTGTGGCTGCATTACAGCACTTACCGCGTTTTTTGAAACGGGTAGCGTGGGAGATATAGCCCGTTAGACCATTCAAAAAAACTCAAGCCTGTCCTGGGGGACGCTTTACTGGCATTGACAAGTTCATAACAGGAGCCCCCAAACATGCGCACCTTTTCATCCTAAGCACCACGAGGACCGGTGCGGGTTGGGGCCCACCGCCACCTGCGCACAGCGCTGTGCACCCTTGCCCCGAGCCGGCTTCCCTCCCCACGAGATCTAGGACAGCTCTAAGCCCGACCCTCCCGGGTGGGACCAGGCCGCCGGACCAGGGACTCGCAGACCGGCGGACTCAAAAGGCATGAGACCACCGGGGCCAGCAGAGGACTAGTCTGTGACGTCCCGACCGACCGGGCAGGCCGTCCACCGCTCCCAACTCGACATCGCCAGCAAAAACTGGCCACAGCCGCGGGCCCGTGGTTTGTGGACACAATGCAGGGAGAAAAACAGCGCGGCACGGTCTGCCTGGTGACCTCGGTGGATTCACGACCCAGACAGTGGCGTCGCACCCGACTTTGTGTCAACAAATGAGCTGTGTTGTCAACAGCAGCTGGGTATACATGGGGCGACTTTACTCTTCTCATCCCGGGGACTTACAACCATCTGAGGTCAAGGCCAAACAGGCATGACTCAGGCTCAGGCGCAAGTCAGGTTTTAGGTGGTCCCGGTGGGTCCTTCATGATGCCAGGGGATCTGTGGGCACTCGGCTATTATAGTTAGAGGCCCTTATGGGCCACTGTGGCCTCAATATGCGCCGCTGAGAACGACCACCGGACGGCTATCTGCTGGGATCACGCGGCACCGGGGGCAACGTGTGGCTGGCCGAGGACAGCCCGACCCTGCTGGCGCCACTCACGCCAAATTTAGCGCGCCAATCACCTGCAGGCTTCCGCCGCTGCATGTTGAGGAGCTCCAGAGAGAGAGAGGGGCGCAGGGAGAGAGAAAGAGAGCGTGTGAGCGAAACGGAGAGGAAGAGAGAGGGGAGGGCATAAAAAGGAGGAGAGGGATAGGGAGAGAGAGAGAGAGGGGGGAAGAGAGAGAAAGGGAGAGAGAGAGAGAGAGAGAGAGAGAGAGAGAGAGAGAGAGAGAGAGAGAGAGAGAGAGAGAGAGAGAGAGAGAGAGAGAGATAGAGAGAGAGAGAGAGAGAGAGAGAGAGAGAGAGAGAGAGAGAGAGAGAGAGAGAGAGAGAGAAAGAAAGAAAGAGGAAGAGAAAGAAGGAGAGAAAGGGAGAGAGAAACTCGTCGCCCATCTGTCTGCCCACTCCTTAGATACTGCTAGTACCCCTGCCCTTTTGCGCCTGACCCTGAATGACGCTAGCTGCTCTGCCGTTCCCTGCACTCCGGATGAACCCAATGTTAAGCTCTCCGAAGCGGACATGCCAGCACCTGCATGACCACCAGAGGCAGATGCGTCTGGTCATTTGGTGATCTCATAGACCAACGACGATTGGTATTTCATACGCATGGTTGTAGTAATGTTGTAGTCAGATGTTTCTTTTTCAGATTCAGCTCTTTTAGTGGCGTGGTTTTATTTCACGTCTCTTTTCATATCCACATTTTATGCGTTGTCTCGCATATCTGCAAGGTCTTCAAGGACGGTGGCCACCAAGTTGTTAATGTCATGCATCAGCTGACGTCACCTCAAAAACCTAAAGTCCACTGTTTCACGCCCGCTAATTGGTACCGAGAGAAAGGCGTCTAAAAATCAGATCGCTGGACGGCGACCTCTGCCCGTGCACAAGACTGGGGTGGGCCCATGTCCGGGCCATCTCGCTGGTTCTGCGAGCTTTTACGTGCCTACACAGTCGGCGGCCTGAGTTGCCTGTGGACGATTTTACAGCAGTGAGGAGAGAGGTGAGAGAACTATCCACCTCGCGAGTCGCGGCTATGCAGGGTACGTCAGAGAGAGGTGGGAGAATTATCCGCCTCGCGAGCCGCGGCTACGCGGGGCACGTCGAGAGAGAGGTGAGAACTATCCACCTCGCGAGCCGCGGGCTACGCGGGGCACGTCGAGAGAGAGGTGAGAACTATCCACCTCGCGAGCCGCGGCTACGCGGGGCACGTCGAGAGAGAGGTGAGAACTATCCACCTCGGGAGCCGCGGCTACGCGGGGCACGTCGAGAGAGAGGTGAGAACTATCCACCTCGGGAGCCGCGGCCAATCTCATCCGAACTCCGTAAGGTAAAAAGAAATCCTCCCTAATTACTACTGCCGCTCGCTTTCATGGCACAAGCGGTCGAAGGACTGTTTCGATCACGTCACACTTTCGCTGTCTCTCTGGAATCTCTCCTCACATCGGAGGGGGGAGGGGGTACTGATCTGCTAGACGATATTCATAATGTGAGAAAAAACGTCCGGAAAGTCTTCAGACAACACCCGACTCCAAGCAGGGCTGAAGAAAGTACGGGAGTAAAAGGGTGCGCAATGCCATAAAAAGTCCATAGTTTTGCTCCCCAGCTGAGTAACGTAGCCGTCAGTGTTACTAAGGCCAACAACCTTAAGGCCCGAGGGCATCCTGTAACAGACAGAGACTATGAGATATGTGGAGAAATTTAGATAAAGAGTTTGGCGGCCTATAGACACATATTTGTAGGTCTCAGCCATGTTTAAAGAGGCTGTTCGGGATCTCTATCCGAAAGGAAATGCAGTATTACGCATTCGCTTCAGTTGCAATTAAGTCAGAACACTAAAGGGCCACGTAACTGCTTACGCAATCCGCTATCTCGACTAGTATAAGCGTCGGAACGAAGGCCGTTTTCAATACCGTCGAAGAAAATGAGTGCTCAGTCCAGGTTGTTGTCCAGTACAATAGTGCAAATCACCTGACTTCATCGAGTTAAGAGCAAATGACGCATTATATGTATCCAATGGCGTAATGATGTAATAGGATATCTGTGTGATGCAATGACGAGAAACTTTTTGTTTGTGCACATTGCGCTAAAGGCGAGCTATTAGTGCTGGCATACAGCACAGCGGCAGCTGATTCTGAACAAAGCACGTGGTGGCAACATGGCGCATTTGGGAACGCCGTTTCTTGCCGGTGAAGTCATTCCAAAAACCACCACTACCACCACTGAAAGTCTACCACCTTGGTCTTTCTGTTCCTTGAACTCACTCAGTTTCTATGAACAAGTATAATCACTTTATAATAACGAGCAGAAAACGGCGGTGATGTGGACCCACACGGGACCAATACAAAAAGAGCGAGACCGTTACTTACCGAGAAACCGAAAATTCACCGAAAAGTTCGGTGACGCACTGTATATATGGTATTACGGATGCCAACAAAATTTGTATTCTGCTTATAGCCAGCCAAATGAAATTTCATCGAAATATGCGCTTTTTATCATTATATGCGCTCTTCTAACAGAATACATCTCTGTAAAACAATTCTATCCAAAAATCACAGATAGTGGTTGCGTACGGGGCTGTCCGGTGACAAGGGCGCTTACTCACCGAGAGGGAAGGAAGAGCGGGGTGTCAGGTCGTCCTGCCAGAAGGCCCCCGCCACGGACAGACAGGGCCAGCACGAGGACGGCGGTCAGCGCCGTCAGCGACACAGCCATGGTGAGAGGTCACTCGTGACGTCACGCGGCTACCAAGACATGCCCTGGAAACACAGAGCAGGCTGGTAACACGGGACCTGCTGTGGAAACGAAGCAAGTACCCGTTGCAACACGCCTTCGTTGGGCGCCGACAGTCAAAGGCAATGGTGACGGCTCGATGTTGGCCGGTACCAAGTACCCGTCGCAACACGCCTTCGTTGGACGACGACAGTCAAGGGCAATGGCGACGGCTCGACGTTGTCCGGTAACAATTGTAAGGGCTTTCTAAAGGCATAATAACTTACGGTGCTGAGCCCTGAATCCTTTTGGGAGGATGTGGCTTCAGCTTATGGCACACGGAACGTGTTTCTTTTACTATCAAACATTTTACAAGCGTTTGATGCTGTCACTGGAAGAGGTAGGAGCACAATGGGGCTCAGTCAGATGGCAAACAGTGCGTTTTGACAGTTAAGAAGCCCGTTAGGATGACGTCTATCGGCATGCAATGCGAGACATTGTTCAACAATCTAATAAGATCAGCCGACAGCGAGTTCATTGTCGTATCAGACCTTCAAATCAGATGGCATACTGCTGCATCAAAGAACACATCGACTTCCACCCCGTCACAGTCAAGATTTATCAGCGGCGCGAACAGAGAGGGAGGGCTGTAATGCCGAAGGTCACGCACCCTCCGACCGGTCACTTGACTGGACCTGCAAGTGTACGCGGTACAAACCAGACAAGCAAGTCCCGATAGTGTGAATCAAACCTGCAGAATTTAATTTTTAATTGGACGTGCACAGTGCACAGCTCAGTAGTCGGGTTTGGAGGCGTGGCATGGCCCATCGCAGCGCCATCTTTCCCAGCTTCCATGTGAGTCAGAGCTCCCGCCGCCTCGAACAGCCGTGGTCACCGAGGGGAGGGGGCTCACTGTCTTCGGGGACTGCTCGACCGGTCACCGTCACGGGCGGGCCCGACCACGGACCACTGGCCACTGGACCTGACCACTGGACCTGACCACTGGACCTGACCACTGACCGCTCGTCCCTGCCAGCACGCTCGTCACGACCACAGAGAGAAGATCCACTCGAAGGTCTCCTCCGCCAGCAGAAGCTCCGGGAAAGGGAGAGACAAGCCTGGGGAAGGACAGGGGTGGTCGATCGCTGGTACGTGGGACGGCTGTCGTGTCTGTGGCCGCTGAAGAGTCCGTTCGGCACAACGGCGGCTGGATACCTGACTCCACCAAGTCAGAGCAAGGCGGCTGGCCGGCGAACACGACGTACCACACAGAACACAGCCAGCCGCATTCAGCGCATACGCAGCAGTCGGCCGCGTGCCTGCAGCGTCTAAACAGGAAAGCTAACAGAACGCTTCACACACAAAGAGTTCTGCTGACTCCTGTCATGGTATGAGTCCAGGTGCCAATTTTCGGCGCGAGTCCGCATCCAGCGGCTTCCGTCTCGAGAGCTGCAGGGAATGCACGTCAAAAACAGAGCCGGCCAACCGCCGCCTGGCAACAATAGCGTCCGCGCCGATCAATTGATGACGTCAGACCGGCGAACGGTCGCTCATTATGCGGCCGGCTGATAAAGGCTTGCCAGCCGGCCCATGCGGTCAACGCGGGGGCCCATTGCAGCCGAGGTTGCTGGTGAAAGTGCCCCGCTGCGGAGGGCGCTGGCGCAGGCCGGCCTCGCGCCCACAATTCGACCCTCTAACGGACCCCAACGAACGAGCAGACGGGTCTGGCTCCCTGGCACAGAAACAGCAGGGGTGTGCATCCCGGCGCCGAGAGAAAAGTGCTCCTCACAGGCGGCCTGTGGAGCTGTAAGGTGTGGGTGGTGGTCAGTCAGGATGCCGGATTATCCGTGCTCAGGAGAGAAACTAAAATGGTGTTTTATCTGACGACCTGATTCTGCAGAGCAGGGACGTCCTCCCTACGCCTGCCACCAGGTGACGAAGCGAACACAGCTTAGTGTAAGCCGGCCTTCGTCAGTACACGGCTGATAGGCACGGCTACACTGTTGATAAGCGTGGCTTCACTGCTGATAAGCACGGCTACAACCACACCATCCGCGCTGTCCCGCAGGCCATTCAACGCCTATCGATCGGCAAAAAAGTGACGTTCCTCTTTAGTCACAAAGGCTTACAATCCAGAAATAATAGATGAGATACAAAGATACGCTGGCGCGATCCCAACCGGACGATGCTGACCTATAGAAGCCGTGGTGTTCCTTTGTTGTTTGGTGTTTGTTACGGGGGAGGGCATCAGCCAAAGAAGATATGATTCTGGATGGGTGTGAAGGATCTTCGGACTTAAAGGCGGGAGAGCTCGTGAGAGTTTCCACGGGGCAGGGCCACCTGAGTGCTTCACTGAGTGCGTCGTTCTGTTTCGCCTCACACCGCTCAATGAGAGCAGAACTAAGGTGCTGCTCGTCGCGCTTTGGTGCTGCTGAACAATTCCCAAGTCTAGCCTCAAAGGGCGACAATTCTCAGTGACAGCCTTTAAAGAACCGGCAAACTGCACGCTTATTACTGCCCGTGGTTTGGTGTCCGCCTTGGACCCCGTCTCGGAGCCTAATTTTGTGACGACAGTGGAAAATCTAAGTATGACTGAGTCGTTGCCAGAGGAATCTGACTGCTTAGACTGGCAATCGCTTGTGTATTCACGAATCGGTGCCGCCCTGCTGCACGCACGTACGTCATCCATAGTGACCAGACTTGTATCCCGTGGGTTCCGTCAACATATCTACGTTGCTTCTCTGGCGCTCCTCAGCAAACAGACACCTGCCATCCCAAGGGCGAAACTGAACATCGCAGCTCCTATTTATGAGGCAGTAAAACATGGCCATCAAGCCGCCAAGGATTACTATAATTTTTGCAAAATGTAACGAAAAAGAGGAAACCGGCTTTCCGTTTACGTAATCATCAGATTCTAATGCTGGGACAAAAAAACTTGATTCCGTAGCAACAAAAAGAACACTGCACCCGCATCACCGTGCCTCCGGATGAAAGAGAAGCCCATGGCAAACATTCGGAAAAAATTGTGCTTTCACACATCCGATCAACGTCAAAAATACCACAGCTAATAGCACGCCTTCATGGCAAATGCAGAATTTAAGTCATTCCTCTCTCCTCCCCTACAGCCACCAATGATGCCCCGGACTGGACGGATGACCAAGCGACAACGTGTTTTCTCAGCCGTGTACTTAACTCAGTGCAGCTCCCTAGACCAGGTTGCATCGCCAATGAACGCTCGCGGGTGTTCGGCACTTACCTGACCGATTTGTTTTTTTAACGTTCTCCCTTTTCTGAAAATTTTGCTTGGACGTAGTCAACTTTGTTAGGTGAAGGATCAAATTTTACTGCATCGCAACCGTTCTGCCGACCATCGTCGAACATTGAAGTAACTTCTGTTCACCAGCACCGCCCAGCAAATACCGCCCCAGGATTACAGCTAGCCAAGGCAGCCACCTCGACGTATGTGCTCCTGGGGCGTGCTCCCAGGGCGTGCTCCTAGGGCGTGCTCTTGTGCAGCTCTCAGCCGAGGCGCCGGTGTCGGTGATCTGTTCCCGCTACCCGTCACCGTCGCCTGTCTCGGTCACCCGTCACCCATCATCGTCACCAGCCACACTGACCTGTCGTCATCATCTGTCGCCTGTCAACGTCGCCGGCCGTCGCGGGTCACCAACACATGTCGCCGCCTGACTCTCCGGTGCCCCGGAGCCTCTCCGCGTGCTGGACGGACTTCAAAGGGGCCGCCGAGGCCATTAATCGGCTCGCGGTCTCCGGGGTAACGGTTCAGCTCTGGACGGTGGCCATGTATGGCTCGCCGCGTCGCGTAGGCGTGGGCCGGTTCTCAACGGCGACTGCACGACTCTCGAGGAGCCTGAAGGGATTCGAGACGTTCGGAGAACCTCAGCCTTGAGAACCGTTCTCGCCCATGAAAACCCAGTCGGGAGGAAAGCCTGCGCGTCCGGGCGGGCGTCAGTTCGACTCGCGGCGTGAAACGGGGCCGCTTCGATGCTGCGCTGATTCGATGGATGCTGCTGCGGTAATCCTATTTGCACTGCATACCGGCAAACGCGTGGCGCATTCGGTGGTAGGCGTCTCAGCATCATCCGGCAGCAGACCACAACACACCTGGCGGAAATTCAACGAATCCTGTAGACTTGAAGCGCAGCGACGCGAAGCGAAGCGTTAGCGTATTCCAGCCTAGCGCGCGATGGATAGCTTGCCCTGGCTGTGCCTGTAATGTGTTCCGGTTCCGGCAGGCCAACAGGACCTACGTCAGCGGAGGTCAAGGCCTGCACACTGCACTGGGATCGGGAGAGGGATCTTAATCTGACCCAGTGCCGCCGGACATATTGGGGGGACTCAGGTGGCAATGCAGAGCAATGGGAAATGTAGCTAACTAGCAATCCGCAACCACCTCTCCAGAACTAACCCATTTTCGCCCCCCATCACTAAGCCCCAATACTGCAGCAATCTGTGTCGGTCGTTCCACTAGGCCTTATCATACATTAACGGCGGTCAGTTAATTAAAGAGAGCCTGGGTGCGGCCCCGCCCTTGGTCGTTGAAACGCGTCCGCCTTGAGCGCCCAGTGCCCGTGTGGACCGTTGATCGGGTCGATAGGGGCGTTAAGCCCCCGCTGACACAGCTAACATTGATCCTTGCCGATAATGAAGCCTGCGTATGACCGGATGTTTATGTTTTCACCGAATCGATGATAATGAGACAGTGGCCCCTACGGAAGGTTTGACGGCCCAGCTTGACGAACCAGTCGACTGTTGCATAACTAACCACATGTCAACACAGCGCGCTGCGCAGTGCGACACATGGACTTACACGTGTTGCACCAATACTAAAAACACACCCTGACATTGCTCGTGAGGCTGTTATACCTGATATGGCCACGGCTTGATTTATGGCGCTGCTGTCAACAGGCCGGGTGCCCATACGGAACAATGTCATGAGCGGATTGGTTTTGCAGAATAAACTTTTGAGATACTCCGAGACAGACGTCAGCACTAGCTTGTGGCTACTCGGACGACCTTGATTGCAGATTAATACCCGGGAGCGATTTGTGCCGCTAGTCGATATACCTGGGCGTTCCGGGGCTGAGCCTGACTGGCGCCAGTCACAAAACAGAGCCTCGAAACGCGTCGCGCGCAGGGGCGTCTGACGCAGAGCAAACCTGGCCAAGCGTGGTCCGACTTCTGGTGACCACTTGCGAAACTCTGACGCCGGAGTCGCCAGCGCTCCTCCGGCAGGAAAACCCCCGCCCGGCGTGGAGGCGTGCGTACCCGCTAAGACGCTTAGAGGCTGCCGTCACAAGGGGAGGGAGAGGGGAACTTGCTCGCAGCTTTACCGCACAATGCCCCGTTTCCGTTCACGAGCGCGAGCGCCGGGGGATGACAATGCACTGTGATGTGGATAATGTGCGTTAGCCGTCCTTCGTCACGGCCTATCCAGGTATGTAGCGCTCTATTTATTTCCAGGGCCACAGGCCACGATACAAAGCGCATTTTGCGGGCCGGGATGGACCAAGCTCGCAGAAGTCGCAACGTATGTGCTCACCGCACAAAGTCTGATAATTATTCGCAATTTGTGGACACATCAAGACGCTCTTTCGTGCATAATGGGGGAGCCTGGTCCCTCTATGGAGTCTGGACTGATTGTGAAATGACAAAATGTGAACTCACGGATCATTCTCAAATATAGTGGGGCATATATGCGACCTCGCCCAACACTTCCAGTCTAAGTGAGCAATTGTAAAAGAAAGCAGTATAACTATGAAGCAATATAAAAGACCACTGCTTGTATTTGTGCAGCCGAGCCACCTGAACACCTGACCGAGCCTCAGATTAGTTTATGGGTTAAATAAGGTCTGCTTTGGCTTGACTTAACATTACTTGAATCAACGGTTGGCAGTTGGTGGGTTGCCCGAAGCTCTTCCAGTGCCTTCTTCCCATACCGCGTGCACAGGCACATGGCCGTGTTATGCTGAGGCCCTTTCCACCGTTCCAGCTGCGCAAGACCCAATCCCGCTGTAATTCATGAGTTCATGGGATAGGCACTCGGCGGTTTTCCGATGGGCGAAATTTGCATGCTCCTGGCCATACGTAAGCCGAGCCGAACATCGCACCTAACACAAGGCAGCACGTTTTATTAAAAGCCCGTCCGGAGTTAACGCTGGCGCACTGCAACTCCACCTTAAGTGTCGCAGTCCGCCTCTGGGAACTGCTTCTGTTTATGTCCTATGCGACAGCTGTGGAATACGTGGGAAATAGCAACGCTCACCAGTGAAGAACGTCAACTTCTGACGGTGCATTTCCGGTATACGTGTACAGATTGAGCGCGAGATCTCGGCCACAGGCCGGCTCACAGGCCCGCAGGGTACCAGCCTATCCATCTCCGCTGAGTTAGGGTCGAATCCCCGCACAAGCGCCGACACTTCCGGCTCCCCTAAAACGTCTGTAGGTGCCCCCCAGACGGGACGCGAGGGCACCTGACAGTGGCCAGCCAGCACCTCCTGCCACTGCTGCCCGCCGTGGTGCCCCGGCCCGGGCGCAGCGAGCCCCCTGCGGTCAGTCACCACACCGACCGTTAAACGGCAGGCGCCCCCCTCCCCGGCCGCCGCGCCAGATGTGGTGCCCGGGCGCCGGTAACCCGAAGCTGGCGCTACCGAGAGGAACAGACGGAACACGCAGGATAGGAAACCAGACGAGCCGCGAAGCCTCCGGCGACAAACGGCTCGGTCGCTGCGATTGTGGCCACGAAATGCCTCGATTCACTGCAGCGATAACACTGCACTCGCAGCTGAAGACACTGCACTCGCACCTGAAGGCACTGCACTCGCAGCTGAAAACACTGCACTCGCAGCCGAAAACACTACACTCACAGCTGAAGACACGGCACGCCGAGTTCGAGATGAGCGCGATATGGTCCCTGATGTTAGGCAGGCTGCCGAGCTCCGCAGTAGGGAAGAGGTGCTCACTCTCAAAGCTAACTGCTGTTCACACACATGATAAGAAGAATGTATGCCTGTGTTACATTCGGCGCGTGCTTCCACCGTGAGTGCTCGCCACCCAACGAGCGTCCCAAGTCACGGTATGTTGTATTGATCATGATCTTCCGTTTAACGGAAGCAGCCACAGACATAAATAATGACGAACGTGGAATAAATACACTTGTCAATCTTATTCGGACAGAAGTGACTGAAAATGACAGAACTCATTGCCCAAGCTTACCTGAACAGCAATTCCGAAGTCACCGGTTCACTTGCGTACCACACAGAGCCTTTATCTCAGAACCTCACGCAGTTCAGTCACGACAGCATTCAGTCAGCGTGCTGGAAGTCCACCGTGATTCCCACACGACAACAGCCTTGTCTCCCCCGCAGCGAGTCACCACGCTACCGACAAACGCCGGGTCTTTCCCACACACTCGGTCGCTGGTACGCCTCCTGGCGCTGCCGGACGGCCCTGCGCGCGTGCGCCCACCCCGGTTACCAGCGAGGCACTGCCGCTCGCCGCTCCACTACGCGAGGCCCCGAGTGTAAACATAGCCCGGCTGGCACCGTGCCAGCCAGCGGCGCGTGTCCAATGCTGGGTGCAGCGGCCGACGCACGCCTGTTGTCGGGCTGGCACGTGAAGTTTCAGGATAGGATAACTTGAGGACCGAAGAAGATCTGACAGCGAAGAAACGAAGAAGGATAAGTCTAGCAGACCCAGGCGGGGGATAATTTGAAGCTGACGTCTTGGTTCCCTTGGGGACGAAAATTGAACGGCAAAAATATTTATGAGACCAAACTTGTGCTCATACAATAAGTGTGTATGATTAAACCACTGCAGCGTATTAGAGACACCACCTGTATTTTAGCAAAAATCTAACGGTTCGAAGGATATATTGTGTTTCCAGTGCACGCCTTCTTGCCGGTTGCCCATTTTTTTTTTTTAACCAGCGATGCATGTTCTTTTTTTAAAGTTTGCGTGCCAGATATCTTTAGGACATTATTTCGATCAACTCAGGTTCGTCGTTCGTTCGTCGTGCACAGCTTTGTGGCACAACATATCGCATACGACAAAGGTGCTTTAGTAGCAATGGTTTGTCGTGCTCAAGTTCGCATAGGGGAAATTTCGTATTCGTCTAAATTCCGTCGATGAAAAAATCTAGCGGTGTTTAAGTTCGCATAGGGTTAAGTGCATTCCGAAATTGTTAAAGACATAAGCTCGTTGTGCTCAAGTTTTCAAAGGGCCAAAGGCTTGTATAAAGCAAAGTGCGTCCCGAAGAAGTTAGTCCAAGACAAAAAGTCGTCGTTCAATCTATATAGGACAAAAGTTCGTCGAGGGCGAGAGGTCACCGTGTTCAAGTCCCCATAGATCAAGGGTTCGTGAAGGAAAAAGTTCGTCTGGGCAAAAAATTGGTTAGGGGGAAGAAGTTCGTAAAGAACGAAAGCAGCATGTGGCTTTGGCGGGATGAAACCAGGAAGGGCACGGCAAGGCCTCGCTCAAACTGCGTCAAACGCTTGAGTTAAAAACTGCGCCTTTGCAGCGTCAGTAAGGGAAATGAACGGACGGCGTGTTCAGCTTCTTTATAATAAGGTTAATAAGAATCAGCTGGCATCGGTGATAGCTCAGTTGGGTGGAGCTGGTGACACGTGACAGTCGGCCTCAGGCGTCCTCCGCCACTCTTGTTGCCAGCGTACTCAAGCTATACACAGCCCTGACAAGTGTTATAAAGCGCATGATTGGCTGCTGTACAAGACCTGAAAAGTTCGTCAGCTTTACATAATTCCATGCGATTTCGGACCGTCCAAGTAGTTAAGAAGATCCCATTTTGTATAAATATGGTTACCAACGGACCTACCTGAAATACCTTTGTCGACACCAAGGTGATTTGATTTAGAGAACGAGTCTTTAAAAAAGCTCACAAACCCTGTTACATCCTGACGCGTGGGAGTTATGCAGACTATCAGATAGTTTTTCGAAAGTCACTGGGCGCCACGCATCTACGTGGAATCGTATATGCCGAATTGTAATAATAACGAGTAAAAAGAGCAACTGAATGGTTTGTGGTTTGACCGATACCTGATAATGGTTTGGTAGGTACTAACGTTCTTGGTATATGATTCCACAGATGATAAGCACATGTACCCAAGCAGCCATTAACAAATAGTTAGGAAACTTGAGATGGGGCAAACCATGGTGAGTAGATATAACTTAGAGACTTGGGCGGGCTTACTGACTGGAGACTTCCGAGAATTTGTCGTGAATATCTGAGCGCACATGTCTGTAAAACAAGTTATCACCAGCTGATCGCCCTCACGCACATCGCCAGCTTTTTCTCCAGAGCTATTTGAATGCCAAGATCGGCAGGGTTGGAGCAACAAGAACATCTATAATCCGCTACCAGAAGACACAATCCAGTAAAAACTATAGCATTACCATCACGACACGTTGCTGAATGTTGAACAGTTTTAATTCCGATTCCAGAAAGGACGCGCTTTAAGGCATCATAAACATAGTTGTTAACATAACTCACTGGATTCGTAATTAATGCTACAAGATTGCAATCGAGCACAAGTACGCACTCAGGACCAAGTTCTACGGCATGACATTTTATCTGATGCGAACTTTTGGCAAATTTCTGCAATATGCAATTAAATCCAAGCAAACTTCTCCCATACAATTTTTTACATGACCTAGGCGAGCCTTTGTCCTAGGCAACATTTCGTCCTCGACGCAATTTACGTAGAAAAACTGCTACGAGACAAAATTGTACTCTGGATGAATTTTGCCCACCGAGCCTTTGTGTATATGAGCGATTGCCCGACAAATTACTGTCCTACGAAACTTTGTCCGACCACATTTTGCGAGGAGACCACGATGCAGGCAACAACTGTTTTTAAAACAGCAAATTTTGGAGAACACAAATCATCACTTCTGTGTCCTAAGCCCTGAGGGGACCCTGAGCATCGAGTGTGTCAATGCCTTACCTTATATGAGCCCCAGAAACAACACAAGGCCCTATGAACAAGTGGGAAGAGCGCAAGACTAATACGAAAGGCCACGGGGGCAGCTGAGTGTACCCTGACATATGGGGCACCGGAAAAAGCGTATAGAGCCTTGCGGGCAAATGGAAAGAATCGGTGGAGGGCCCTTGATCGATTATGGGTGCTCAGGCACGGAAGTAATTGTGTGTGTGTGTAAAAAAAGCAGATAGTGCTCCAACAGCAGCGTTAAGATCACGTACGGGAATTGGAAAAAATGTCAAGAGATCTGGGGTAACGTGGAAGGCTCCTTGGCGATCAGATTGACCAGGAAAGTGGACATATATGGCCCGGGCAGTAGCAGCGTATGACCTCTAAAAAGCATAATGAGCCCCACAATTTCCCTCAATCACTACCTTTTTAATCAGAAAAGGTTTAAATTTGCTTGGTCACAAACTCTCTGCTTTCTTTTGCAACCGTTCTTGCAGGCCCAAATACGTACAATTTGTTGTGTTTTTTATAAGAAAACTGTGTCTGTCCAGCCAGTTATCGGCCATTTTGAAGCCTTTGGGTCCCCTCTACATGGTTCATTGGGAATGGTTTGGTGCCCCCCCCCCCCCCCCCCCTCTGTATCCGCCAACGGACCGATCAGCTTAATAGATGGGGCCCGCCAAGAGCATAGGGCCATCGATTCAAGTAGGAAGCACTCAAGACAACAAACATGGAGGGCCCCGGAGGGATCGAGTGCGCCAGAGCAGGTTTTTTTTTTTAAAATCATCCGATGGTTCATGGGACCGGATCGAGTCTCTAAGCTAGTTGTGCGTGCACCCACCACCACCCAAGCGGCCGTCCAGTCGCATTTTGCCTCCGCCCTTCGCACGATTCGGAGGGTTTTACTGCGCAATGTGCACCGCCCGAGCCTCGTTGAGTGCCAGGTTTCGTTCCAGCCGGTCAACAGACTCTGGATCGTACCAGTGCGCTGATTACGAGTCGGCATCTTTCCCCAAGCAGGACGGAAGGCGGCAGGTTAACAGATAGGGCAGAGCGAGGCCCTCCATTCACTGAGCACGACGACGCGATGTAGAGGTCCCCCAACGATCCAATGTATCCGAGCAGCTTATCAGGACGGGCCTCGACAGGGGCCGAAGGTCCTCCATTCAAATAAGAAGTACCCAAAACCCAGTGCGGAGAGCTTCTGAAAGATGAAGTGTACCCGAACAGGTTATGAGATGGCCCCGATAGGAGTGTAGGGACCTAACTGCAAACACCAAGGCCCAATGTGCAGGGCCCCTAACAATCCAGTGACGCCAAGGTGGTAAACGGAGAGGCCCCGACAAGAGCGTAGGACCCTCAATTAAAAAAGGAAGCACCCAAGACCCAATGTAAAGGGCTCCCGAACGGACCGAATATGCCCCGAGTGGGTTATCAGATGGCCCCCGACAGGAGCGAGGGGGCCGTACATTAAAATAGCCAATGTGCAGGACCGCCAAACAGTCTAGTGTGCCCGAGCAAGTTAACAGATGGGGGCCCGGCAAGTACGTGGGGTACTCCATTCAAATGTAAAGCACCCAAGACTCAATTTGGTGTGCCACGAACGACCGATGTGCCCAAGGAGATTAACAGATGGGCGGCCAGAAAGAGCGAAGGGTCTTAAGGAAGTGGCGGAGAATTGGAAGCGCCCTATACCAATGCAAAGGGCGCATGGGCATATCGTGAGTGTGTCGCTAGGTTAACCGAAGCCGATATAAAGGGTGCCTGAGCCAACCGAGAATACCCGACACATTAACATGTGGGATATGTGGGGCCCCAGCTATAGCATACAGAGCCTTTCCGGCGAATGGAAAGAATCTGTGGAAGGCTCCTGATTGACAAGAGCGCCCCGGCACGCTAGCAGGAAAGTCCCAGCAACAGCGCAGCCCCCCCCCCCCCCCCCCCCGAGCAAATGCTAAACATAAAGGGCAAAGTAGAAGGCTGTTTAACGATCAGAATGGCCTTGCAAGTAAGCATATAGTTTCCCCGGAAACGGCAAAGACCCCTGGACAGTGAAATGAAGCTTAAAATTCCCAAATAACAGTTCTTCAATCACTGAAGCTTTGTTTTTGTCCACTCGTGAGCTCTTTATTTTCGTTTGCGACTGTTCTTGGTTGCGTTTTGTGTTCAAAGAACTGCACCTGTTCGGCCGGCTATGGACCCCTTCGGAGCCAATAGGCCCCTTCGGGGCCCAAGGGGGGCATGGTCCCGTGCCCCGCCCCTCTAGATCCGCCCCTGAGGGTAAAAGTTGTCACCCCATATGCTCGTATAGGACAACAGTTCGAATGGTAAAAGTTCGCTTAGGGTAAATTACCGCAGGAGTCAAAGGCTCATATGGCAGAAATTCGTCCGGGGCAAAAGTGCGTACCGTAGAAGCTTGTCTCGGGCGCCGGCTTCTGCTGGATTCCAGTCTAGCAAAATTCATTCCGGTTTCATTGTATAGAACTCATCATCCGTTCCATACATTCCAATTTC